TCATATTGGCCTCAGGTGAGTAGCAAATCGCATTCGAATTCATGCCTTCCATTGCCTTGATTGGTCCGAGGATAGTTTTTCCGCTCTCGACATCCCATACTCTGAATGTCTCATCCCAGGACCCGCTCACCACTCGCCCTCCGCCTGAACTCCAGCACACAGAACACACTCTGTTTGTATGCCCCATTAATTTTTTGATGACCTTTCCCGTGTCGATGTTCCGCAATTTCACTGTGCCATCGCTACTCCCAGTTGCTACTGTCTTGCCGTCCGGCGACAATGCTATGGCATGCACTCCTTTTTGTTTGTCCTCCCATTCCTCCCCAAATTGCGTGTTCCTCTCCAAATCCCAGACTCGAAATGACCCATCCAACGAATAAGTGATACACCGCTGTCTATCGAGTAGGTGTATGATGTAGCGGATGTTGTTCTTTATATTGATCTTTCGGCAAGGCGTTATCGCTAAATTCTCCTGCTTCGCAGAGGCTGGATGCCCCATCATTAATTTGATTTCGGGATTCACTTGATGCGTGCATGATAATTTCAGCTCTTGCCTTCAACCGCCGTACGAATCTATCACTTACTGAGAATGCAGATGTACTTGACTTGTACACGCAAAGGCGAATGCGGAAACGAAAGATGCGACGGAGCGGGCGTTTCAATGGATATTCAAGTCAAGAAGAAGATTGTTGAAGTCTTCTGCAGGTGCGTTTTCCTCGCTTCATCCTCGTGTTTGCTCCACAGCTTCAGCGCAGGCTGTGCAATTTAAGCGCCCAATGACAATATGGCTCGGCATCACGGTCCTACTACCCCGCAAACCTGCGTCTTTGTGTTTTTCCACTCGCTAAATGCGATTCTGCAAATTTCGTGTCTATCTTTTTCCTCCGTATCTTCGTCAAGAGTCCAAACTGCTCCTCTCTCCGATCTTTGTTCTCAACGTCTTACGTGATCTTTCTATCATCCTCGTCTCCCTACTAACTAAATTGCGATCTGGCCATAGTCACGATACAATTTTCGTGGATCAGACTATTCAGCCTTCTCGGTACGTTGTCTGCACTCGTGTCTTTGATACTCGAAGTTGCATTGCCTGTGCACAAACGCTCCTTGCCTTTCAGCAGAATTCTTGAACGTAGATATGTAGTGGTCGGAGCAGCTGGTGATGAGGAACCTCCCATCTGTAGAAAAGGCCGGAGGGTTCACGTAGTCTTCATGATGAAGCGATGTTTTGATGGATCGATTGGTTTCGAGGTTCCGTATAGTTTTGCTGTTTTGCTTGCGTATGATACTGATATAAAAGTACCTGAGACTTCTAAACAAGTCGAGCGCATCTCATTTGATGGTCCGAGCGAAGGGCGGACTGTCTGGCCATGTTCTACATGCCCAGCGGGGTGGCAAAACTCTAGATTTGCGAAGTTATGAATTCAACAGAACATAAAAACCAATGTCCCTAAAGCGAGATGGTGCACGGTGGAGGACATCAGTGATTGACGACAATCTCGAGCACCTGGAACAAGTCCCGAACAGCTCAACATCATCACTACTAGGATATGCAAACATTGCGGAGACACTGACAACTCATCAGGTGCTTAAATCCAGGGTCGTGACAATGACCTACCGAACCATTTTATCAAGCCTGCAGGCCTACAATCAGTCAGTAGCTCCATCTGCTGGCGGCCAAGCGGATGGCCTTTCTTGATAGCAAAACGTTCTAATGAATTCCGAAAGTCACTCACTTAAAGCCTTTGTTGTGACGATTCTCTCAATTGTGGGGCATGCAGGCAAAGGAGAGCGCACATTTCCTGATCTCGGCACAATACAATCTATGCAACGGTGTAATCTCTCAGTTGAGATATTTGAGACACCTCGTAAAATTCTTGCAAACTTTGATACCAAACCGCCATATAAGCCGCAGAGGCTGGGATTCGAGAAGTCCACCCGCCATCGACACGCATGAGTTCTTCGTCGCCCCATAGCGAAATCACACTGCCTGCTATCCTGATCACACCTTGCTGGTCTCCATCCGTACTATGCAATGACGACAGAAGAGTCAACGGTCATGATTAATCAAATATAGATGAGACAAAAATACGAATGAGGCACACAAGTCACTTCACTAATAGTCTGCGTTCTGAATGGGCATGCAGCATATCCACCCCACGAAACGAGCGCGCCATCCAGCACCGGTAATATGAGTACGCAAGTGCGTTCCCGGTGCCCCAGCAGTGCCAGTGACGGCGGAAAGCGTCGAGGCGATGGTAGTTGGAGGTAGCTGTGATGATGATGCATTAGGTTTTTGCGTGGTAGGGATGTTGGGAGGTCGAGACGAGCTGGCAGTCGGCTTCTTTCTAGCATGATAATTTCTCTGCGTGAAAACGAGTCAGCGATAAAGGAAATCATGGAACAGAAAAAACGCACAGGCTTTCCCGCTGTGCAAGGGACCTCGACCTCTCGCAGCTCAATGTCCGATCCATCTCGTCTGCGTAGCATACCAGATACATTTCGAGTCCAGCTGAGAGGATGGGACCGAGGTCGAGTATGATGCCCAGTTTCCCCATGTGGCTTCGAGCGACGCCAGAATGAATGAAAGCGACTGAGGGTGTGTTGGCATGGTGAAGGAATGGGGTGGTCGTGTGGCCCATGGGATTGGGATAGACGAATGCGCAACTGAGAACATAAGAGTCAAAAAATTGAATAATAGATGGAGATCACGTACATTAGCCTCTCGCAGTGCATCGTCAAAGAACCCTGGAGGAATTCGAGGAGCACCTTTCATCTTTGGAGCTGGTCGCAGTGTAGCATCGACCTGAGGAAGCCATTGCCAGCGTCATTTAGAATGAAATGTATGTAAGATTACAATATCTGAAAGGCCAGCTTCTTTGACAATAGCAGAAACATCCCAAATATATATCTGACCATCCTGGCAGCTAGTGAAGAGGAACTTTCCATCTGCAGAAAATGACCCATCGTGCATCCAGTGTTCAGAACGTTCATGGTGAAGTGGTGTTCCGATGGGTTGATTGGTTTCGGCATTCCATAGTTGCACTTTCCTGGTCATGCATGATGTGGTTGCAAGGAAGCGCGCATCGGGAGATAGGAAAATGCGATGGATGAAGGAATAGACCAAGATTTCGCGCACGTCAAGAACAGTCCAAGTGACTGTCGAATTTCATAATCTGGAATCCTGTTGGAACCAGACTCCAGGCGATAAGTGTTTTTCCATTCGAGGTCCATGCCAGGCACACAAAATAACCGTCGAGTGTTTTGAGCAATTTGCCTGTCTTGCCATCCCAGATCTTCAGCCAATCCCCCGCTGTGGCAATCATCTTGCCATCTGGCGAGTAGCAAACCGTGCGCAGGTATCCTCCTGCCTTAATTGGTTCAAGTATAGTTTCTCCGCTCTTTACATCCCACGCTCTGAATGTCCCAAGATCTGCGGACCGGCCCCACACTTGCCCTCCATCCGGACTCCAACACACAGAAATTATCTCTGTGTACCAATCCAGCTCCATCAATATTAATGTTCTGGTAATGTTGCCCGTGTCAATGCTCCACAACGTCACTGCGCCATCGCAACTCATGCTTGCTAATGTCTTGCCGTCCGGCGATAATGCTATGGAAAAAAATTTGTCCTCCCATTCCGTGACCTGTATGCCCGTCTCCAAGTCCCAGGCTCGAAGTGACCCACCCAATGAACGGGTGATGATCCGCTGTTCATCGGGCAAGTACTGAATGTTGTCAATGATGTCACCATTGTGCTCTACTTTGATTTTTCGGTAAAGCATTGTCCCCGAATTCTCGTGCTTCGCAGGAGCTGGACGCAACATGATTTTAGTCTCGGGATTCACTTGATGGATACGTCATAATTTCAGCCGTTACCATCAAATACCATATGAATCAATCACTTACTCTGAATCTAGGTGTACTTGACTTATGCACAGAAAGATGAATCCGGAATGAAAGTTGCGGTGGTGTGGGTGTCTCGCTCGATGGGAGGTCGGTTTCTACTGGTGCGTTTGCCTCGTTTTATCCTCGCTCTACAGCATCAACACTGGCTGTGCAGATTAAGCGCCCAACGCTATAATTTCGGAACAAATACCCGCTTCCTTCATCTGCATTGCACTCGACATCGCAACCATACTATCCCCACCGGCCTGCAGCTGCATCCTTGTGTTTCTCCACAGGTCCAATGCGTATGGTTCTGCAGTCTCCTCACCTATCCCTTGCGCCACATTTCCGTTGAGAGTCCAACTAGGCACATTGCGTCTCTCTCACTGGCCTTTGTTCTCGTGTCCAACCTGAGTTTTTCACCTTCGTCGTCATTCTATTACTAGCTAATTCGCAATCTGGCCATCCTGGTCGCAATTTCCTACTCTTCCAGATCTACCTCTACGTACCTCTACGTAGTAGTACTCGTATCTGTGCAGTAGCAAACAAATAGTCCTCCTCTATCACCACGAAGACCTTATCCACTAGTCAGGCATCTATTGCCTTGTCTGCTGAGATATTTTCATTGTGCGTTTTTTTACAGAATACCTCAAGAGAGACAGCGTGCAACATGAAAGAGATAATGGAATATGGCGGGAATACTGATGAAAGTAGAGAAACACCCTTGGCACTCAACAGAACATTCGAGTCTGTGAGGTCTATCTTTGATCCAGTCACGAACACGAAAGGCTAGAACGAGGACGATCAGCGGTTACAAAATCATCTTGTCATAAGGCTGGCAATGAGTTTGACGGCCAATACAAGTGGAACAAGAAGATAGGGACCTGCCGGCGGTGGACAAGTAGTACAGCATTTCATGGAGCATAGTCAGTAAGCGCTAGTAAGCAACCTTTACAACTTGAGGCTAGACAGAAACTCATCGAAAGTGATTGATCCCTCACCAACAACTTGAAGGTTCAAGTCCTTGGTTCTCAGACGTAACTGCCCCCAATGCTGACCGACTTATCGAGGCTTCAGCTGTAGATACATATGTTACTGATTCGACCAAAATTTGTGCTCGATATCAAGTACGATGCAAGTTCATCATACAACGTCAATATCTAAGAGTATACACTAAGCAACACGATGAGATACGATAGCTGCGTCCAGCGTGCGATAATGGTTATACAATAAACATATAGAGGATACGCCAAGCGATAATGAGGAGAGGAAACACACTAAAGAGGGAACATTCGATGCAAAAGGAGTGTCGATGATATGGGCCAAGTGATTCGGCCAAATATATGTATACAAGCGAAAGAAACGAGTGTTGTAATCATAGAGTTCGTGAAGAATCGGAGAAATTACTAGATGACGACAACAGGAAGTCAGCAGCAGCAGCGATAGATAAAGGTATAGAAGGACGTACAGTTGTATGCTGGACTATGTTGCATTACGAGCAGGAACGATATATCCATAGACCAATTTCTTCGGGTCTTGAAGGCCAAACTCGCGACGTCCCTTCTTAGCACGGGCCTTGCTATCAAGGAGCGGTCTGCATGTCACTTGATGCCGGTCCAAAGAATCGGACCTGGACCACCGCTTGCCGCAATAAGGGCATTCGTAGGACGTAGTATAGTGGATGCCCTCGATGTGACGGCCCAAATTGAGCATCGCCTTTGATTTCGAGCAACCCTCGAATTTGCAGAGAGTCGTGCCTTTGGATTCGACACCATGCCAATGCAACAGGTGATCTGCGACGAGGACTTTGTTCATTTCTACAAACAGCCCGCAGGGCTGGTCCGTCCACTCGCATGGTCGTACGCAAGTCATCCCTGCGGGTAGTTCATTCGTAATCTTGACGGACCGCTTGGAGTAGGAATCATCGAGTTCCATCGCCCCAAATCTCCTCGTTCGAAGAAGATTACCTTGGGCATCGTGGGTCCTGCGACTGCTGATATCCACCAGCTTCGGGTCGTGAACAGGCACAGCCATGACTACGGCAGTGGCGTCCGCTAGTCTGTAAAAACCAAACTTTCCCTCTCTCACTTCGTCTTCGTCGTCGTCCAAGCATCTGCGCTTGCGAGTGGTTGGTGCGGGAGACAAGCTCGAGCTGTCTTCCTCGTATGTAACGGTATGACGAGTTTTACGCTTGGGACGTTTGGCGCACGTCTGCCCAATGGGAGCTGAGGAAGATGGCTCCAAGTTGCTGTCATCACTGAGATACATTGTCGCGTCAGAGTCAGACGCGGACGGCAAAAAGGTTTCGATATCCGACATCGTGTCCATGATGGCACCAGCGTGTGCGTTGCCATACGTGCGGGGATCTTCCGGTACCCAACGCTCTAGATCGACGACGGTAAGAAGGTGATTTTGAGTAAAATTAGGTCCATTCGCATACGAACCGTCATTATAGCCAGCTTGGGACCATGCGTAGCCCTCCAGAGATAGTTGAGGGACGACAGTGGGCTGCTGAAAATGGTATTGGTTCTGGTCCATTGGGGGAAACTGGGGGAGACCAGCCACCGGAGCGGTGAACTGGTTCAACGTCGGAAATGACGCCTGATTGTCTCTGACGACCTGCAAAGCCGCTGAAGACCTGGAAAAAATAAATGAGAAATAGTTGGCACTCGGTTGATGACACGTACCACTGATTCGCCTTTAGGTATTCATGTTCAGCCCAGGCCTGAGCCCATCTGCCAAAGGCCGTTAGTTCGGGTGAATGTTTTGAAGCAGAAATACATACTCAGCCTGCATGGCAACTACATCGTTGGGGTGAGCAAACTCTTGGACGTTTTCCAAGACCATGTTGGCATTGGCCTCGGGTTCGATTCTAGGTTCAGGAAGGATAGACTGGCTAAGAAAATCATGAGGTGAACTGCGTCATCCAACTCGAGGGTGAACACCAACCTATCCAACGACATCTGAAAACTGTTGTATGAGGCACTAAATGCGGAAGGGATCATCAGCATATGGATATACCGAGTCGACATGTGAGTAGACTTACCTAGACATATCAATGATTTGGACAAGTAATATCAAATGGCTGAGATGAAGTGGCAAAGGAAAGAGGACGAGAGATAGAGAAGTGAAGGAGAGAACGCCAGGTTTTTAACCTCACAACATGTGGATAAGCGCGTCTGTGGACGAGCATTATGCCCCGACAACATGTCGTAAAAGGGCAAGCGTGTGTGGTCATTCCACCATAGGAAACATATCTGTGGCGTCTATTCAACTGCTTTGAAGCACCATGCGTGCATCAATCCACAAAAACACAAACCTTTCACCACACACCGCTCATCCTTTGTCAGACCTAGACGTGCGTGGGGCGATGAAGTAAGTACTGGCGCTTCTCCACTAAAGGATATGACATTACTAGTGCGTGCAACAGTACAACTCCATCAAGGGTCGAAGTATCGCAACAATGAGACTTTCGTGAGGGATGGTCACGGCACACTCAACTACAACCGAGAGCTTTGACAATGGTACCAGCTTGAGACAGCAACAAGCGACCTCCAGTACAAGCGGACAGCTGATATATTAAAGCTGAATATTGCGCGGTAGAGGAACATGAGATGTGAAGTTGCGTAGCACCCCAGGCCTGAAACTTCTGACATATGTAATGTCAGTTGCATGTTTAGTTGTAAACGTGCAAAGACACTCACCTTTGCTGTTCATTGCGTTGTGATCCAGCCTAGTCCTTGCCGTTGAGGTGAGAATTGGAGGGCTTGATATCATCTAACCACTTAATGGACACCGAAATACTTTTTTCAGATCGAAACCATGATTTGATATTAGCGTTTATGTGAAGATATTAGGAGCTAGGTGGCAATGCAACAGAGAGAACGCAGCCCGTAATACCTTCATTATCATGATATGAGGGTAGCATTCTCTGGACTATGACTAGATGTCAACAGCTTCATGCTAAATTGAAAATACATCACATATCTGTTCAGCCTGAGATAGGCATATCGTCACGTGCGACTTTGGTTGTCACAATTCGGTTAGAGGCATGAAGCTGCACGCATAATACAATGTTTGTGTTGATATCAGAATTCACCGTGGTAAATCGGTTGTGCTAGACGACTCAGAGTGACGCGTACGCGTTGTTTTGGTCTGTTGTCCAAAGGCTTCCGAGAGTTTCCTTGTGTGGAAGCTGCACCGTCATCGCAAATCACTAGGTTCTCGACAAGTTCTTGATCATGTTTCAATGTGCAACCTCGTGCAGGTTTCTTCAGCAGGCCAAAGGACTAGCAGCCACAGGTGAACGAGCATTATTTTTCTCTCCCACTCCCGGCTCATACCCATGAATTGTCAACTCCGGACAGCATGGACTCTCTAATTTATTTCGAACTTCCTTGTGTTTCAGCGCTTCATCACTATTCAAGCGTAAGGTACGGGTGCTCATAATCCCAATCGCACCATGTCGAATGTTCCGCCGTTGTCGAAGTCTGGCGTGCTCCCAAATAGCATCTGGAACAGGCGAGGATGGACTGTCCAGGAGTTTCTCGCTCCTAAAATTGTTCTCTTACCAAGCAGACTGGACTCTCTCGATACCGGTTCTTCCAACCACAAGGAGTCTGTCACTATCATGCACGAGTTGGAGGGTTTGACTAGCATAGATGCACAGGCGCTCGTTGCCTTCTGCTCGAGAATGAGAGGCGCACGAGAGAAATATAATGGTCATTTAGCAGTATCACCACGTCACAGGTACTAATTATTGGGCATTTTCGGTGTCCATTTATCTGCCATCTACGGAGAGAAGATACGGAACGTGCTCGGACGTCTCTTGCAGGAGCTCATTCAGGTGATCACTGCACTGGACTAAGTGAAAGAATTATCTAACTTCAACTGTTGTCTGCCAGCTGACATTGCCTCCGTACAAAGCTCAGCCATGCTCGTCGTCAGCTCTATCCGAACACAATATCTCCCAGCTGCGACATACTGTGGCTGTGGAGTGCACTTCGAAACTGTATAGCATACCGGGCAAACATTAGTGCTTTTCGTTTCGCAAACTCCAGATTGCAACTCCATTGCATCCCTAATTGTAATATTACCTGCTATCCTGATCACATCTTCCTAGCTTCCACCCACACTATGTGACGACGCCAGAAGAGCCAGTAGTCATGATGAATTAATGATAGTTGAAACAACGAAATACGAACGAAACACGAGTCAAAAATCGCTTCGCTAATGGTGACCATCTGTGTTCTGAATAGGCATGCAGCAAATCCAGCCCACGAAACGAACACGCCATCCAGTACCGGTGATGTGAGGACGCGAGGGTGTTCCTGATGCCTCAGCGGTACCAGCGACACCGGAAAGCGTCGAGGCAGTGGCAGTTGGAGGTAGTTGTGATGATGCGCTAGGGGTTTGCGTTGTATGGATTTTGGGAGGTCGAGACGAGCTGGCAGTTGGCTTCTTTCTAGCATGATAATTTCTCTACACGAAAACGAGTCAGCGACAAAGGATAATCATGAAACAGAAAAAACGCACAGGCTTTCCCGCTGTGTAAGGGACCTCGACCTCTTGCAACTGGATGTCCGATCCATCTCGTCTACGTAGTATTCTGGATACCAGGTTCCAAGTCCAACTGAGAGGGTGGGACCGAGGTCGAGTATGGTGCCCAGTTTCCCCGTGCGACTTTGAGCGACGCCAAAATGAGTGAAAGCGACTGAGGGTGCGTTGGCATGGTACAGGAGTGGGATGATCATGTGGCCCATGGGATTGGGATAGACGAATGCGCGACTAAGAGCATATGAGTCAAAATATTGAATAATAGTATATGAAGATCACGTACATTAGCCTCTCGCAGTGCATCATCGAAAAACCCTGGAGGTATTCGAGGAGCACCTTTCATCTTTGGAGCTGGTCGCGGTGTAGCATGGACCTGAGGAAGCCGTTGTCAGCGTCATTTAGAATGAAATGTATGTAAGATTACAGTATCTGAAAGACCATCTTCTTTGACAATAGCAGAAACATCCCACATATATATGTGATTGTCCTGGCAGGTAGTGAAGAGGAACTTTCCATCTGCAGAAAATGTCCCAGAGTGCACCCTGTGCTTATGATGAAGTGGTGTTCCGATGGTTTGATTGGTTTCGGTATTCCATAGTCGCGCTGTCCTGTTGAGGACTGATATAGTTGCAAAGAGGCGCCCATCGGGAGATGGTGAAATGGTATTGACAAAGGAACCGACCAAGTCTTCGGGCACGTCAAGAACTTGAACAGCCCAAGTGGCTGTGTCAAATTTCATTATCTGGAATCCCCCACTTGTCGGAAGCACAGGCTGCCTGCCCCAGGTGGTAAGTGTTTTTCCATTAGAGGTCCATGCCAGGCACCAAAAATGACACTGGAGTGTTTTGAGCAATTTGCCTGTGTTGGCATCCCAGATTTTCAGCCCGATGTGGCAATCACCTTTCCATCTGGCGAGTAGCAAACCGTGTGCAGGAATCCTCCTGCCTTAATTGGTCCAACGATAGTTTCTCCGCTCTTTACATCCCACACTCTGAATGTCTGCGAGCCTTCTGCGGTTCTTGAAGTTCTTGCGGATATGCCCAGCACTTGCCCTCCATCTGGACTCCAGCACATAGGAACTGTATCTGTGTGCCCCGTCAATGTTTTGATAACCTTGCCCGTGTCGATGCTCCACAACTTCACTGCAGTGACTGCACCATCCAAACTCCTGCTTACTAATGTCTTGCCGTCCGGCGACAATGCTATGAAAGTAAACTTGTCCTCCCATTCCTCGACCTGTGTGCCCGTTTCCATGTCCCAGATTCGAAATGACCCATCCTGTGAAAGGATGATAATTCGCTGTCCCCCGGGCAGGTGTAGGATGTTGGTGATGGGGGTGGCTTGCTTTACTTCGATCTTTCGGTAAGGCATTGTCCCCGAATTCTCATGCTTCGCAGGAGCTGGATGCGACATTATCTTGGTTTTGGGATTCACTCAATGGGTACGTAGCTCTTACCATAGGAATCCATCACTTACTACTCCGAATCTAGATGTACTTGACTTGTGCACAGAAAGATTCATACAGAACGAAATCTGCGACGGAGTGGGTGTTTCGTTCGATGGAGATTTAAGTTAGGAGGGAGGTCATTGTCAAAGTCTTCTACTGGCGCGTTTGCCTCTTGTATCCTCATGTTTGCTCTACAGCATCAACACTGGCTGTGCAGATTAAGCGCCCAACGCTATATTTTTGGAACAAATACCCGCTTCCTTCATCTGCATTGCCATCGACATCGCAACCATACTATCCCACCGGCCTGCATCTTTGTGTTTCTCTACAGGTCCAATGCACATGGTTCTACAGTCTCCGTATCTATCCCCTTGCGCCACATTTCCGTTGAAAGTCCAACTAGACACAACATCGTGTTCTTCTCACTAGCGGCCTTTGTTTTCACGTCCAACCGGAGTTTTTCACCTCTGTCGCCGTACTATTACTAGCTAATTCGCAATCTGGCCATCCTGGTCGCAATTTCCTACTCTTACAGATCTACGTCTACGTACTCGTATCTATGCAGTGCCAAACGAACACAATGAACAGTCTTCTTCCATCATCGCCTTAACCACTAATTGGGATGTTGTCATCGTACTTTTTGCGAGGAGTTTCTCAAGAGAGACGGTGGCAACAAACGCGGTCTGTGCAATTCGGTCACATTTGATTCACATTCACTGCACCGGCAGCAGCACGCAACCGTCAACACGATAACTGACTACCAGCTATATACCGAGTTGCAGTCAATGTACCACGAAGCATGCCACATAGGAATGTCTGAGATATACCAAATCAGCCATATTTAGTACTTACTGTTGACCGTCTGAGTGTTGAAAAGTGACCCAGCCAATCCAGAGTAAGAACCGAGTCCAGCATCCGGCCTGAGTTATGTCAATCTCAGGATGTGACAACGTGGCAATCGCCATCTCAGTAGTGATTCCCTCGTAATGGTAAGTGATTGTGCCGGTGATGATGCTGTCCCCTGTGATGGTCCAGTGGCCAAAACATAAGTATTGGGAGGTCGTGAGGAGCCGACAGTCATCTTCTTTCTTGCATGATAGTTCCTCTGTAAAAATAAAGTCAAGAACAAAAAGAAAATGAGAAGGACAGAAAGCACAGGCTGGCATCTACTGCTGCTGAACCGAGAAAATTGCCTGGTGACTGTTACGATTGTATTCGCGCGTGAAAGTCTTGTTGCAGGTGTCGCAAGGATATGCGACCTTGAGGTGCGTTCCCTTCACATGCCTGGAGAGGTTCTCTTTATTAAGCTCCTGGGTGCAATCTTCCCAAGAGCAACAGACGTGGAACTTGTCTCCACCACGAATTCCATGGTATTCACGGAGGTGAGCAGAAAGTTCGTGGTCAAGAAATGGGTAGCTGCAGTGCGAGCCATCTGGTCTTCTCCATCGGCACTCATTCATCTGCTCAAAAGTATAGCCCGACTGCGAAAGTCAGTTTGATGGCTATGATGCCTTGTCTGGGGAGTTGAAACTTACAGGCTCAGGCTCTAAGAAAGCAAAGTCGTTGCTTGCGAGGTTGTGCGACATCAGTGTCGGAGACGATGGTTGTGGCGAGTGTATCTGCTCCAGATTGAAGCGTTTGAGAGGGGGTTTTATAGATGAGCTTTCCGGGAGGGCATCGTTTTCAAAAAGCCCCGTGCCTCATGGGTTGGCAGCCTGGTGGGGTGGCAGGAAGTTATCTCTCGGGCTGAAAACTTTTCCGATTGGTTAGAAGACAAACCATAACCATCAAATAAGCGTCAGTTGCCAATGGCCTTGGCATTCGGCGAAGCGCGTCATACACGAGTATCAATGTCGCTGGCGAGTACGCGTGCATGATTATAGAAAGCCAGAGAAGTAAGTTCCATCCGCGAAAAAGTGTGACTTGGTTGAGGAAAGGCCGACGTGCCATACCGAAACTAGAAGTACTTCTATGCCACCCATCGACCGGCCAACGACTGGCTGCGGACCGACCAGAAGCTAAAGGAGATGTATAGATATCATATTTCAAACCAGGAAGGAAATGAAAATAAATAAAAGACTTCAGACTGTATACAACGCGCGTGGTAAAATTAGTCCTTGACGTTATGGTGGCGTCAATACTTAGCTTACGCGTCAATGCTAGGTTCTTGAGGCAATCCTGCTGTTATCATATCCTTCCTGGTTAAAAAAACCATCAGATGCAGCATCGACGGAACTGTGGCGGTTCAATCAGCTCTGTTCTTTTCGAGAGAAAAACCCCACCGCCATGCCACCGCGACTACATGCTCCAAACGATGCAAGATGCTCTCCATAAATGCCTGTTAATACATTAAAGCAGCACTATCTCGGAGTGGTCTATGAGGGACGTACAAAAGACCTAATTTGCAGGTGAGCATTACTGATTCCCCAGCCGATTTCAGTTGAGAATAGGCCGGGCTTCTCCCTACAATATTGACCGTGAATTCGCATCCCCGCAGACAGACCCTTAACCCGAGTCTGCGCCTCGTGAGGCAAGTAACTCTCCCGCCCTACGAAGTTAGAACGAGCAGAAGCTTTTCTAGAGGCTACCGTATCGCCGGCGCCAAAAGTTGTAAGCGTGTATACAAGGTTGCATTGGACTTGAGAGAGAAGGAACTTATACATGGTGAAAGGGATCATCAGCTCATGAATGTGCGCAATTGTCCCAGCAGTCTCATATGCCCGTGTTAACTGACTTCTGGAAAAATGGTACTGAGATCGTCATAGACCGTTCTCGAACCTACATCGAGATCCATCGAAACAGGGGAAAATATTGACGAATAAAGATTGGAAACCTGGGAAATACTCCTGCCAGCTCCACGAGTACTTGTGGATCCTAATCGTTACTGGGGTTATAGTTTTTGCTAAAGGGTCTATGGCCTTGCAAAAAATTACTAGCAAAAGGGTCACCATCAGCGCTCGTGTACATTCCAAAAGTAACCCAAAAGGGCTCTACAGATGCCTGCTACTTACTGCTCCGAGAGTATCATAATAAATGCAGGAAATCTGACATCATCCATTGCGATCCATCCGCGAAATCGAACGTTTTGCGACTCCGAACCTCTTCCCAAGAAGAACTAGAAACTTGAAGAGGACAAGTAACGAGTCCATCTTCAGCTCAACACCGGTCGTCGACGGGTTTCAATATCCATCAATCGTCCTTCGTAGTCTTGCAATGGCATGTCAGCAAAGTGGCGTTGCTCTCGATCGACCTTGAGGTTGCAACTTGAACTCGTGCTAGGAATGCGCAAGGATCGCGGGCTCATTCATGGATGTATGGCCGCCCAACGGTATTGATGACTTTTATCATCACTCCCTTGGAAGAAAGCAACTTCAGTCTCCGAGCGTCGAATCATACAGTAATGGAGTGAGGTGAAGAGAGTTGGCGATCTCCACTGAACTTGCAGTTCCTAGTGTCCACCGATTATGTCACATTCGACAAGCGACTACCTCGTCCATTAGAATGGGAATTAGGTGGATGTGCCTCGTTGGATACGAACATCTTCATTCCCAAACCAGTGTTGGAGCAATAATTGAACATGGGCCACAAGTCATCAGCAAAAGTGGCGCAGCCTGGTAAGCCCTTTCCAGGCATGGCAAGATACCCCCAGTCTGACGAACTTCGCCAAGACTGAACACGGCTTGCAGACAACCTCTCCGTCATGCCAGATGGGCACCAGGCTGGTCAAAAGCCATCAGAATTGTGTATTTTCAAAAGTCTTGAGGCGCCTTGCAATGTTGATCCAGCCTTGCCAGTTCCAAGCAGGCTGTTCATAGCTAGCGCTTATGACTCGTACCAGACAGATAGCACACCGCAATGCAATAAATGGAATCCAGTGAATTTCATGATCATACAATACAAAGCAGTGCAAGTAGCAAAACTACACAGGTGTCTATGCGAGTCCGACGCCATCCGAAAGCAGGATCAAGGGTGTGATGAGATCATACAAGAGACATCAAGTGCGAGACATTGTAAGCGCAAATGGAGTCGTGAGTGCAAGAGCAATATACAGCACGGGCACAAATTGAATGTAATGCAGTGAGTGACAGCATTGAAATCTGTGTGACTAAAACCAATAGTCAGAATAGGCAAACAGACCAGGATTTAAAATACCTAGGCAGCCTTTTTACCCCGACAAGGCACAGGAGCATCCACATCTGGGATACCAGCACCACCTGCTTCGTTAGTAGATTCTTCAACCAGGATATCACCAGCAGAGAGACGTGCAGAACCGCGAGTGTTGGATGGCTTACATGATGACTTTGGTATGGGAGGTTGCAGTTCGTCGAAATGTACTTGAGCATTGGGTGTTTGAGGGATGCGAAGTCATCAGATTGTTGTGACCTGCTAATCTGGTTGTTTGTAGTCATCAGTTTGGTGCAAATACATGAATATATGCGCATATATGCAGAAACTTACCGCTGTGATATAAGGTTTTAAGTCCATCCTACGACATCTCATCAAGAGTTGCATGGAAACCGGGCATCCCATAACAAAATGCAAGTGACACGTTGGCCAATGGATTCCATGTGAGGACCGCTTTGCGCCCGGCCGCTGATAACACATCACTCAACATTGAGTCACGTGATAGGGGTGAACCTATGAGTATGAAACTTACCTTATCTTCTTCTGCCTGCCGGTGGCGGTAAGATTATCAAGGATGTGCATATATCAGAGCGCGTTTTTTGGAGCTGGAGGGACAACAATGCGTTAGATATCGGAGATGACACTATGGTACAGGGATAAAAGGGAACACGATGAAATCTCCACATAAGCCGGACTTTGAAATGCCTTCTGACGGAGTTCGAATGCACAACGTGTGAATGTAATCAAAGTATGAGACAATCGATTATCATATATGGACTGAAAAATAACATGAGAGCAATGCGAGAGCAAAAAGGAACAAGTGTGTAAAAGAAAAGAAAATCAAGCTTTGCAAACCTCTCCTGGAGTTCCAGCTCTTTGATGGATTTGACTTCCCAGGCCATATGATGTTCATGCCTGACGAAAAGAGCTGGTACATAGCGAGGAACAAATTCCACAACTGTCCAAAATTCAACCCAATCGAGCCATTCATTGACCCAAAAATCGAAAATTTTGCTACAGACACTACCAAATTTCGCTCCACTTGGTGTCCATGCCTTCTAGGTCCTCTGCAGAATCGTCTTGAGCGCTACCAAAGCTGTTGATAAGCAGCTGATTCTTTGGGTGAGGAAATAATGGAGTCGAGATCGCCGAATGAGATGTCTGGGTGCCGTCTTTCAGCCATTTTCTAAGGGACGTGAGTTGTTGATACAGGCCACTGAGTAGGACACTAACCTTTGCATCATACATATGCCATTGTCGAATCTGAGGTTCCTTGGCCACAGATGAGGGCTTGATTGAATACAGTTTTTCTGCAATACACTGGAGATAAAGCTTGAGTGATGAGTAGTCAGGACTCACTGAAACTTACACCAAGTATGCAACCTTCAGGTATCTTCGTCAAGTGAGTCTCACATAGCGCTCGAACTGGCGCATGAAAGCTTCATGAACATCGGCAGCTGTTTTTCCTTTGCACCTGTTGCTGGCAGTATTATGGATAACCAACTCTAATTAGAGACCACTGGTTATGCTTCCTTGTCACAGAGCCTCGAGGATATCCTTCGTTATCCGTTATACATAACCTCGCTCCTGCTGCTCCATAGTACTCGCTGTCCACTTATATACATCTCAATTGTGGGATCTGACCATAGTACTCGCTGTCTGCATATATATATCGATCACAAGATCTGAGTATGCCAGGGCCCAGGGCCTTTGTTGAAGCTTCTTGAGAACACTATGTCGATCACATGAGTAAAGATGCTAAAAAGTCTGTATTCGGCATGAAGAGAAGGTATGTCAAAATGTACCGACAGTACTAAATGGGAGCTGCAGTTGCCTCAGGATGAAGGAGAGCAGGCACAATACTCCACTTGGTGAGGAATACATCTCTCATAGACCTGCACAGGGCCGCTTGACGTTTGGCATAGCCTCGGATGCCTTCCAATGAAGCATCATCTAGGCCTACCATTCATGTGGCCTGCTCTTCCCACCATGCTGTTGACGTCCGAGAGATCCGAGACGAAGAAAGCCGAAGGATCCGAGATAGACAAGGAGGGAGAGTGATAAATCCGAGCCCAAGCCAAAAGGAGTGCAGGCGAGCGACGTGTTGACGTTGGCTCGCGCGCTGCAATAAGATACTCGCTAGCCTAGGTTCAGGTTCAGCTGTTGGCCAAACTCTGGACCGAACACCGCTGAACGTGTTCGGGAGGTCTGGTTCGCGTTTGAACCGGGTTCAACCACAATCTCGAGGTGTTGCATTGACAATGCCCACCATGTCCACCACGCTGTTCCATACACCATGTCCACCATGCGCAAACGCCCAGTGCACGTCAGCAACTGCTGACGTGGCTCAGACAAGTGTGGACAATGGACAACAGCAGGAGGAGCCTTGAGGGAAGCAGACGAGGAGGAGAACGAGGGATAGAGACAAGCAGGAAGAAGGAAGAAGCTAGAAGGGATGGTGGACGCACAATGATAGTGAGTACTCACTCACTCTGGTACTCGTCCCAGCACACCCCTGCAACACCAACCGAGAGACAATAACACCCACCGCCTCCAGCAACAACAATACAATGCCCACTACACCATCCAGCCCAGCAAGAGGATCGATGGAGGTATGAGAGGGTGCAATGCGGGTGCAAGAGAAACTGGCACTGATGAGCGGGCCGCTGTGATCGAGGAGGGCTGTTGATTCCAATGGGATGAGAGCAGGAGGAGGAAAGTTGAAAATGAGGAGGAGAACAAGGGAGCAGGAACAAGGAAGAAGCGAGAAGGGAGGTGGATGTGCAAGAGAAACCAGCTCTGACGAGCGACTCGTCAGGATAACAGTAGTGTACAGAACTTGGGGGTGATGTGGTCAGAAAACAGCACCAACTAGATCTCTACTTACTGTTTATCCTCATAGTCTATGCCGGAGGAAATCAATGTACTTGGAGAGATATCGCAGTGAAGCTATGAATGGAAGGACGAGGCATAATTCTGAGAGGTTGTAGTGTTGCGGTGGTTGGTAGAAAAGGTTTGGAAAGAAGCAGTGCCATAGAGTCAGACTTTTGATAGTAGTCGGACCGAAACTAATAACATTGTATCTATAGTAGCTACCTATCAAAACAAATACAAGGTCTATGCAATGCAGTTAAGCCTTGAATAAGCTTAAATCAAGGTCCTGATATACATTATCTGTATTCACATTGCCGACATCGACAGTACGAGAAATCTGTTCAGTAGTCAGACCAAAACTGTACTAGAAACAGCCACTCGACAGTAGTCATACCAAAACTGATAACTACCGCTGGCTCCTCACTGGAATTTCAAGAAGCACAAAAAATGGTTCATTTGACATCTATGTAGGTAGCATACATGACTATAGTAAGATACATTGTCCAGGCAATATAAGCTCTACACAGTACTCACGCGGTGATGTTCTAGCGAGATTGCATGTATTTCTGAGTAAAAAAAAAACTCAATTTGGGAGGAAGGGCAATGATAACACAGGCATTGGAAAACGGCCAACTGCATTCCAGACCACCGTGTTTAAGCCAGGCTTTTCTGTAGTAAACGAGTGAAAAACCATACATGTTAGGCACAAGATTCAAGGGCATAGTAAAAACTGGGCACTTACTACATGTTTCACAGCATTAAAATGATATCCGAGGCAATTATTGAAATGAGGGTCCAAGAAATTGTGATGGTGAGGGTGTGTGGGTACCTGTGCACATTAAACCAAGGAGAAAAATAGTCAAGGGGGCGGCATTTTGCAGGAATCAAAGGCACAGAGGGAACCAATAGACGCACAAGGTGTGGAAACATCATTTCGGAGTATTCTTTTGATGGGATGATCAGATCCAGATCACAGAGAAGCAGGGAGAGGGGTGGGATAAATCTGAAGCTGAAGCAAGACGGTTAATGCAGCTTGGAAAGGGTAGGAACACACCAAAAGTATCTGCAGCCAACCCATTATCAATAATTATACATCACGGACAGCCCCAGAATGAGCAGGAACGCACCAAATTGAGCTGTCTGGCAAGTTTTCCATCGTGGGAGCGGTAATGGATAATCTGTCAAAGCATCAGCAGTCCGTGACAAGGAAGGATAACCAGCTGTCTCTAATGAGACTTAGTTATCCATAATAATGACACTATAGCCTGTCCTTTGAGAGCAGGGTTGTGTTGGGACTTGAACTCGGCTTCAATCACAATCTCGAGGTACTTGAGAACTCAGACGTAAGTTGGCGATGTGAGGATATCGGGCACAGCTGTTGAAAGAATGCGAGGGATCTTGATTTTGAGAGAGAGCAGGTTATGCAGGATTGCACCACGAACATAACCTGTCCCATGTGTGATAAGAATAAGCATTCATCAAAGGTGAAGAGTGAGTAAACATACGTGGATCTAAGCATAAAGCTGCAAGATAGCAGTCGGCTGGTCTGTCTTCGAGCTGTTTATGCAAGTGATCTGTGAGGAACAGCGGAAGATTAGAATGCGACCCACCAGGACCATGGGGGTCGACAGACTTATTAGCACCATGTCACCACCTCATGGCCGTTGTCTTCTTAGATAGATGATCTATAGATAAACACCTACAAAATCAAAAATCTCCACGGTCAGTGATTCAGACAAATACCAATGACTGATAATGTGGTTGTTCATGGGTGGCTGTTTACACTTCCCCAAGCTATGTTCAGACAAAAAGTACTTCCTGTGAGGTCAGTAGCAATACCAGTCAATCCAACAGTATGGACACAATAGAAAATAAAATAAACAGAATGTAGTCAGCCCAACGGTATGGTGATGACAAAAAGAAAATGATTCACTCCAACGGTATGGCAGTGATTAGAGAACAGAGAAAAGTCAGCCCAACAGTATGGTACTGATAAAAAAAAGAAATAGACTGATAAGAGAAACCCTTCCTTCAGTAACAATGCTTCTCGTAATAAATTTACTACAGAAAAATTGTGCAAAGTTATAACAATCACCCCCTCAGCACAAACAGGTAGAATCAAAGGTCAGGACTAATCAGTGATCAGTAGAACTCTTAGTTCACTATTGAACCTGCTGCCAAGGAACTCACGATGAGTATTAAACAGAATCAGGAACGGACGTCCTTGGATTTCAGTACCAAGTCCCCTATTCAACAACTAAAGTCTAGCAGACAAAGAAAACCCTGGCTCAGTATCACTACTCAGATGAGTGAGGTCAAGCGTCACTATCAACTTCTGAAGTCTTCCCACTAAGCCGGTGCTTAGATGGACATAAAGACAACACAAAGATCTTGAAACAAAAACACTAAGACGTGAACGAACTGAACAGAAAAAGAGACAAATGAAAAAAAAAAGACAGAAAGAAACAGGAAACGAAAGAGAAAAAGAAGAAAGAAAAGAAAAGAAAAGAAAGAGACTAGAGGTTCACCAGTAGAAAATCAAAGAAAAAGTTTTGCTCGCTGTTGAGCACAGTGAGCTCAAGATATTTGATGGTTGTTGACGATGAGCTAAAGGTATTGCTGGATGTTGCTTACAATGACCTCTCAGTTAGTTGCTTAACAGCTCTTGTCACTGTTGTTGATATTGATCACACTTCACACTCAAATTTATTTTGTGGGGCTTAAAAGTTCCCTCTCTGCATATTTTTATTGGCAAAAAGTGGGGTCTTATATAGATAAATTAGGGTGGCTGTGCTACTATTTCCCACGTTCTAAGGGAAATAGGCTTAGTCAGATTGTACCAATACTATTGTACTGTTAGTCATGTGCTTTATAATTTGTGTCATCAAGCTTTAGTCATCTCAAAAGGTTGCTTTGTCATGATTTGGTTTAGGATCATAGGTCACCTGACTGTTAGAGTCATATGACTTAGTATCATGTGACAAATATTAAGTAACAGACTGATTATGTTATTTGTTGGTGTCTTGTTATGATGTTACTTTATTGACCGTAGAAATGACGCGAGCCGTGTATTTAGGGTTTTGAGAAAGTTCCCACAAGGCAACTTATGCAGGAACTATTTTTCACTGTTGCTTGACATGTGTGGGATTCAGTCTGAGTCATTGTTGCTGCTGACTAAGCAGAATTTACTGCAAAATTAAATATACAAAAATATTCAGCCTATCTGAGTCTATCTGAGAGATGAAATGAAAATACTATCTGAACTGCAGTCTGAACCATAAAGTAAAGGAAGATTGTTCATAATGATTTCCAGGGTATCGGGCTCGTGGGAGAGCATTAGTCATCCATGCACTGAACCAGTTTGGTGCAGGTCACCGTGTGCCTGTTAATAACATACCTTTTTTAGCAGTGTTATTAACAACCGACTTTTTGTCCGTACCCTACCATTCATATCACCGCACCGCGAATGGGCTCCACACAGACCAACACGGCAAGGAGGTTGACAAGCACTTGTACCATGAGCGATGCGAGAGCCAGAAACACCCAACACCAGCGCGTATGGGTGTAGAATTCCTTGAGCGAGTTGCTCTGAGAAATGTGTTTCCCGTCTGACTAACCCTCTTCTTGCTCTTCGACGACAAGTCCTAGTCTGTAATTGGAACAACATTAGCGTTAGCACATGGAAAAGTCAAGAAACACACGGTGCAACACCAAAGGCACTCTTCTGTGTATCTGTATGTATGGCAGAGAACGAGTTCATTATCACAGCAACGAATAGATTGATAAGCCAGATGTTCAACACGAGGATGCAGACAATGAAATAGAAGCAGGAGACAAAAAATTTGGTGTCGATGATCGAGTACATGATTGGGGACCACTGAGAGGAAATTAGCGCAACAGAAATATGAATAAAAAAACACATACTCCATCGGCTGAAGTCACGACGACAACTTGAAGCACAGCATAATAAATATTGTCGAAGCTCTGGATGCCACTGTTTGGATTGTCTCCCTCCTGATCCGAAATTATGATATCATCATCTGTCGAAGAAACTCCAAGCGACGAAACTGACAAACCCGCTCCAAAGGGCAGATATAACCCTTGACTGTGGAGCCTGATGTACCATCCAATCGTAAATACGGAGTGGCTTTTAGCCCGTTCGTTTGAGAGGGGAAGGTGAGGAACTGTAATGCAGCGTCCTCCGCCTGGTGGGGCCTGCAGCACCTCCTGTGCACTCAGAGTCACTGATGGTCAAATCATTAGCACTAGCCCAACTTCCATCTGCAGATTTACATTGAGAGTTGGTGCCAGTGAGATGGACATCGTCTCTGTCCTTGGATGAGTCAAGGTCAGACTCCAGAGTCGAAATTAACGAGGCGGAGGATGGATCAGCTTGTGCAGCAGTGTAGGGTAATTCGTTGTAAATCAAACTCCCATTGTAAGCTAATGCATTTGCAAAGAATCTGTTGTCTGGAAAATAAACCGGGTCCTCATCTGCAGTAAATGGCCGGGGCGATATTCTTGAAGGACCCGCCTCCATAGTTACTGAGAGATTCGGGCATAAGGGATCCTGCCCTGCATCTAACTTTGCCCAGCTGGCTCGTCTGCGAGCGACGGAACGACCACCATCCACTGAAGGATGAAGTGTTGGAGACAGACTCGGACTCAGAGGAGCTGAAGTACCAGCAAGGCCCGTGATAGTGACAGTTAAGTCGATAGCAGAAGAGGAACTTTGGGTTGAATGACTGAGAGATGAATGATGTTGGCTGTCCAGATGCTGGCCATCCATAACATATGTGTCACGGTAGCCTCCGTAGCGTTAATGCAATGTCGAGAGAAAGTCTGTACAAACATTGGAAGGACTTGTCTTTCAGCAGTGTAAGAGAAGAAATATGTTGCATTAATTGGATTGATAATTTTCGCATGCAATCCTGTGACATGGGCAAGCCGCGAGTGACAATGTTAAGTGCTAAAGTGGTTATAAGACGGAGTCTTGCAATGCCTGGCATGGCGCCTGTAAGGCATGTAGCCATATTGGAACTCTACGCCAGGCTTACGGTATTTGCCGAGACCTTGTCAGCTTCTGCCACTTTTGCTGATGAAGGTTGCCGCCACCCTGCGCCAGCAAGACTTCGTTACAGCTGGACGTTACGACTCATCCAAGTGCAAGAACGCGTCCATAAGGTTCGCAAAATATTTTGCATGTCGTCGTAAGGCATTTGTATTTGTTGACACTGTTTGAAACAACGCTGGCTATACCATCATGATTATGTGTTGGTGAAGCTGTCACAGTTGCCGGAAGTCTATGAGTCGTCCGTGAATGAGTGTCCGAATATTGGTATCATCTTCCAGTAGTAATATTTGGTGAGGCTTGAACGGGCGGCCGAAAGTATCGCAGTCTGACGTGCTAAACTTGAGCGCTTCAAGAAGCTTGATCCCGAGGTTCGGTTATACTACTTCTAACTAGTCCACACCCGTTCTGCCTTCGGCACAGGAAGCAAAAAAGAGTGCTTTGCACTCTTTTTTTAGCTTCCTGGCCTCAGCTTCATCCCAATAATTCTGAAGGCTCCTGATGAGCGTTGTTCCTTCATCACAGGAAGCCAAGGAGGGCGCAGCCCTCCTTTGGCTTCCTGGCCTCAGGCTGCATCCTAATAAATTGTGCATTTTGTTTTGAATAAGAAGTACATTTATAAATTATGAGCAGCAGTTCAAAAAAACTAAAAGTACATAGTACATAAAATCAGTCACATTCTTTGAGCAGGATTCTGACAAAAGTAAAAAAAAATACAATCTACTACACAACATAAAATTACAAAATATGTAACAGTATCAAATGTATTTATTTTCCCATTTTTCCCTGCCACCCATCTCCCATTGTCTCCTCCTGTCTCCCGTCTCCTGTCTCCCGTCCTCTCAGTTTCTCATTTCCCAGTCCTCCTGTTCTCCCAGTTTCTCATTTTTGTCCTCCCATTCTCCAGTTTTTGACTCCACATTGTCTTTGTCTCCTTTGATTTTTATTTTTTCACAACCTTCTGTCATTCATTTCCTGTCACCATATATGTGTTTTCCCCCTGTCTGTAATCTGTAATTATATTATATGTTGTTTCATTATTTGCTGTATGTATACAGATACTACTATAACAATTACAGTAGGGAAAAAACTCATATCTGCCTTCCCTCAAACACATCTTTTATATTATTATTTAATGCCATGTACATATACAGTTACCAATGTCGTGCTAAGTTCCCAATGGGCGACGTTATTTGAGTCGCCGCTCGCAACATAAATGAAAACCACGCGAGTTTCCAAAAAGAGGTTTAAGCGAGCTAAGCGCTCCCATGTGGCCTTTAGTGAAAGCCACGCGAGCGCCCGTGCGTTTCCGAAAACCGTCGTACAATACTTCTCACGAAAAGAACACCGTCCGCTGGCGGGCATGACGCTCGGCTTTCTCCGTTTTCTTTGATGACATGAGCGAGGAACGTCATCCGCTTCAGTCACGCTTCGACCGTGCTTTCATTCATTTAGGCCCCCGGAACCGTTCGACATAGAGTACTGACCCCCCCATTTCCTTGCTCTAGATCGCAGCGAACACACCCAGCGCCACCTCCGACTCGCAAGGAGGTTTCTCCGTGGGGGGTGCCGTTGCCCTGACATTGTTCGTCGTGTCCCTCGGTCTCTTCGTCACCTATCATTGGTGGAGGCCGCACATCCCACTCAAGTCGTTTTTCGGCTGGTGCCCTTGTTTTGTCCCGATCCGCACCAACCATCGCAACACCCACTTCGTGAACTGCCACTCCACCATCATCACGATGACCCCGATCGTCAGCCATGCAGCCACCAGGGGCACATGCACCACTGCTGCAGCAGACTCGTTCTGCAGCGCTGATGCACGTGCATTCGAGCAGAGAGCTGAGCTCTCTGTCTCGTCTGATGCCGGGACATCGCAGCCGTCTCAGGCTGCTGGTCCAGGAGATGCCAACCAGTCACTCCCTTTCCCGCTTCGTTTCAAACCGGACGGTGAGCCGGAGATCCACTACCTTCCTGTGTGAGTTTCAGTTCCCTCTTTCCCCCTTTCGCTGAATTTAATGGGTGCGGGTAGCTACACGATGACCGTCAAAGCAATGAGGCAGCAATGCCTCCAGCTCAACCTACCTTTGTCAGGCACCAAGGCCATTCTTTGTGAGCGCCTCGAAGGCTTCAGTCGCGACCGAAACTTGTGGGATAGGTATGTGAAACTGTCATCCGTTTCAGCATGCTCACAAGTCATCTCATCTTCAAGCCTCAGGCCTGGGGCCCGCAAAGCTCACAAAGGCCCACGGACAGGTCCAGCAAGCAAGGCCAAGGCACGCCGCACGAAGCAGTCAACACAGCGTCGTGCTGAGTTGCTTGGTGACTGCGAAATGGCCTCTGACCCCACTGCCACCACCCGCTCCAAAGACACTCGCACGATGGCTGAAGTCGCAGCACTGTTGCCTTGGGTGAGTAACTGCTTCTTCCTGCCCCCCTCCTTTCACAATACTGATGCGCTGCATGGGCAGGCTGATGCTATCAATCGTGCATTCCCATATGCGCTGACAGATGGTCAGCTTGCACCAGCTGCGAGCACCCTGCCCTGCCCCACTCCTGCGAGCGCTGGTGCTGATGCGAGCTTGCAAGATGCAATTGTCCAGAGTGTGGGCACAAGGCTCGTCAACATTGTCCAAGGTGCCCTCCTCCAGCCGAGTACAGTTCAGGTTGGGCTACCCGAGGCCGAGCCCCAGGATGCGGGCACCTCTGCTGGGTGTACACCAGAAGAACCTGCACCAGCCACGGAGACGAGCACCAAGAGGATGCGAGTTCTCAAGCTTGGGAATGGCACATTGCTGCAAGTGGCTGACGACGAAATCCCAGACCCACCTGCCATCAGTTTTGTCAACGACATCCCTCGGCTCAATGGAATGTGGGATGATCGCACGGAGCACTGGCAGGGCACGTCCATCATCAACATACAAGGCCACCCGATTGCAATCGAGTACTGGCCTTTGCTCTATCGCTATGGCCATGATCAGCAATGGAAAGGTACGAAAAACAAGTGGACTGACTGGCGTGTATGTGCAAGCTTCTCCTAGCTGGCCTTGACTGATCTGATTTGTTGTTTCACAGGACATCGTTGAGCGGTACCGACGAGGCACCCCAGAACAGTTCTGGGCCAGGTTCAGGGCTGCCAATGGTGAGCCTCTGAAGTTCACTGCCATTGTTCACAGGCTTCGCGAAGAGCGCAAGGAAGCAAACTTTGCACTTGTGGAGCGTGCTCGCGAGGAATATCGCTCAGACTTTTTCTTTACTTACCGAAAAGGAGGTGAGGAGCACACCATGACGAGGCCATCTGCGATTGCAAAGAAATACAAGGAACTCATGGTTAGCAACTCGAAGGAGGTCTGTGATTGATTTGTAGTAGGCTCTACTTGTCGTTACAATGTAAATTTTATCTCGCTTATGGACTGTGATATTCATAAACACATTTCCTCAATCAAAGTGTGATCAAAATGTAATCAACACCGTTTTTAGCCCCTAGCTGCCAGCCCTACATGCACCAATTTCTCGACTTCTGCTGCAAAAACATGATCAAAAACTTGAGTTGACTTTCATTGTGAATCATTGGCATCAGTCACACATTTCCAATCACAAAGCCTCCATTCTTCGAATGGAGGCTGATTGGAAATGTGCGACTGATGCCAATGATTCACAATGAAAGTCAACTCAAGTTTTTGATCATGTTTTTGCAGCAGAAGTCGGGAAATTGGTGCATGTAGGGCTGGCAGCTAGGGGCTAAAAACGGTGTTGATTACATTAGGGGCCCTCCCAAAACTTGAACTTAAACCACTTCGACATCACTCACACTTGTAACTTGGGAATCCATCACACTTACAGTATCTAACTACTAGGTACCACTCAAATTTCATCTCCACTGAACAAAGACCTGCACTGACAGCATTACTACTGCAGTCCAACCTACTATACTAGCTGCCATGTCGACACCGTTCAACGAATACACCAGAGACACAGGCAGCAGCAGTCCTGAGAACTTGAATGTTGAGATTCATGCCGTTGATATCCTCCATTTTGCCCGTCTTGGTTTTGCAGCATCCATCAAACTACTCTCAGAGCAACATGGGTTTACCGAAGGTGTCATTCAGAAGGTGTACAGACAACTAGAAAACTATGCGGAGGCCATGGACATCATTGAGATGATGCGAGACGATGCAGAGGAGCGGGCAGTAACTGAGATTTTGAAAAGACATGAGGGTGACAGTGATGAAGACTTAGAGGAGGATGAGGGTGTCAATGGCCCTAAGGAGAGTAAGGATGCAAAACGAGATCAGGATCAGGACGAAGTCAAAGAAGAGGAGGAGTAAACGAGCATGTTGCACAGTTGCTGTCAATATACATGGAGTGCTGTATACTATCTAGGCTAGAGTCCTTGCTGAAAATTGCTTCATCGTTGCCTCGAACATATAAAATTCAGCCACAAGGGCAGCATCTCCCGCAGTGGGGGCACTTGACAGTGGGAGGTCTATCAGGATTGAAGAAATGCTCCCTTGGCTCAACAGGGTCGTCGTTCGATGAGATGAGATATTTGACTATGGTCAGATTCGAAAATTCGGCACTCCAGCCTCCCCACTCACAGATCTTCCTTAGCGCCCAACGTCTTTCGACATGTAGGTACTGGCAGCCTCCTCGTCGGAATGAGTGGGTGCCATATGGGGCCGGATCGATGCCTATGTCCAGCAAGTTGTTGTGGAAAAGCTCTAAGAATTGTTCGGAGGTCTGTAAGTTCATCAGCAATGTTTCTGGCTACCAGAGCATCACCAAAACTCACCATTGGGGTGTTGGCCTCCGCTATGCGGTCACCTGAGGCTATTTTTTGAAAAACATACCCAGACTTGATCCTCGACTCGGACAGCCAGGCTGCGAGGGCTCTGACAGGGCAGATGTGGGCCTCGTGTGGTGGGAAGGCCCACAAGTGGAAGGGTTTGATATCTGGGTGATAGTTAGTAGATATGAAAACAAAAATCAACCTTGGCACATCACACACCTCCATTCTGATGCGTCTTGCGGAAAGGAAGGTGTAGTGTCACTCCCTTCTCGAACACTCCAAAGTCGTGCACCTGGATCTTGAGGACTTCGTCGAAGCGCAGCATGCACACAAATGCTATGGTGTATGCGGCCTGCAGCAGCCTCCGAGCACGGCCGCCGCCCCAGTGGTGTGAGTTGAGGCGCTCGCCAGGCTGGTAAGGCTGAATAGCCCAGTTTTCATCGAGGTGGTTGTGGTGGTAAAGTTTGAACAGAATGTCCTGTGAGGGGTTGACTATCATTATCCATGACTCGGGAGGCCAGACATTGCTCACCGTTGTTATGGCACGGGCACTAGTTGCCACTTCGCCAGCCTTGACCTACCCAGATGTTCAGTAACTGAGGCTCGTCAGGATCAGCATGAAAAAAAAGGTCACCTTGCGACGTCGGAGCGAGCACATGAAGGAGGACACCTCCGTTGATATGGAGGGATTGCCAACCATGACACCACCTCCAACATCCGACTCGTGCCACCACATATTTCCAAGCCCCTGGAGCCTACCAAACGCATATGTCATAGAGGCACGCATCTTTTGGGCATGCCCATATGTCCCTCGCTCTTCGTTCAATGGCTTCTGCATGCCATCAAAGTTGATCGAGTCACACCTTCGAATCATCATCAGCCTGTCCAAGCCAGAGAGTGTGTCACTCACGAGTTCATGATCCAGGCCACTATCAGCCATGGTGTGTCAGCGCGTGGTCTCTTGCAAAAAAAAACCTCATTTTTGCGCAGCAAGTGCAAGCTAGTGAGGAAAGCAACTGCCTGATTCATTAGCCTGCCATAAGTAGTAGTCCACCTTCAGTAATCGTGAGGGTCAAAGAAAATACGAACACGAACCTCCTGTATTCCGAGTCTGTGCCTTCAGTAACACCTTTGGACGCATCCATGAGCGTGGACTGGAGCTTTGCGAAGTCAATGGTGCTGTCTGTTGGCCTCGAGAGCACTGATTGAAGGGGCGCATCAACGAGAGTCTCCTGCTCAGCAGTGACATCCTCTGCAATGTCATCCATTTCGAGGCTGCTGGCTGATGTGGATGGAAGGAGACCGCATAGACCTGGAAAGTGTTGAATGGACTCGGGTAGTACGGTAGACATGATGGTTTGAAGGTACAAGGGAGCGCTCACCACGAAACCCCTCTCGAAGATGAATTTGAAATCAAGCCACTTGCCTGGCAGTGCTGGCACGCGGTTGGGTTCGAGAACCTGGGGTTGCGAAGGGGGAAGGGACAAAAAAATAAGTGAGAGCCAAGCCAAGTCTGGACGGTCTGGTGACACACCTGGGACCGTCTTAGCGCTCGCTCGGACAGTCATTTTTGTTGGTGGGCATGCCCTGCTATACCTAGCCTCCCTTGGCTTTGCAGGGAGGCGCACTCGTCCACCAGAGGTTTCTCTGCTGAAAAATGACGGTCTCAGTTGTGTGACATCGTGAAACAAAGCATTCACGAGAAAAGTGACTCACCCAGAAGAGTCCGAACACGCTCGATCGTCGCCGTCATGCAAAGCTGTCCATCAGAGAGTCCCTGGAAGTTCTTACTTAGTGCTGGCGAGATACTTGTATTCAGCAGTGAGCGGAGGAGCCTAAAATCGAAGCACACACCTTTTGTTTTGAAATCGATTGCTAAAACAGCGCGATGAAGGTTCAACGATACAGCGAGGCACGAACAATGCTCCTGACTGTATCTATAAATGTTGTAAGGTCACGCGTTGCCTAGTCTGCTATACTTGAGACGACAAGTGCGTTCGACCCTAAAGGGGAAGCGAGTGCAGCAAGGATCTAGAGGTATGCGCTGAAAGCGCTACTGGTTGGCCAATGTGAAGCGCGAGAAAGCGCAGGTGCGCGCAAGGCGCGGGAATGCGCGAAGCGCGGGAATGCGCGCGCGTGTATGCGGAATCAAGAGAGAGTAAGAGTGAGTTTGCTTAGGTGATGATATGATGTAAGACAAGAGAAGAGAGATGCGAGGTGTAAACAAATAGATTTCTACTATGTTCTGCTAGGTAAATAGTGGGTAGTAACCAGTAAGTCCTCCGTCGTTCTGGTGGGAGAGTAAGTTTTGTAAGTAAGTATGTACTGCTGGCGCTTAAGTATGGCGCCTAAGCGCTGTCATGCGGAGCTGAAGCGCTACCGAGTAAGGTATGTAAAGATATATGTAAGTAAGGGTCCATGATAAAAATAAAGATGGAACGATATGCAAATGTGAGAAATGGAAATATACGCACTAGGGAACTTGGTGGACAGTGGATGGATGCTTCCGGATGGCTGGCGCTATAGGGCGCTACAGCGCGGGAAAGCGCGCGCGCATATACATCGTGAAGCGCGGGAAAGGTACGCGCGCATGGCGCGCGTTGCGCGGGAAAGCTGCGCCTCATATAGAGATAGCTGCAGGTAGCACACAGAGTGATGCTACAAGTTCGTGCCATGTACTCCCCAGTGAAAACTGCCATATTGCACAATGAGAGGCATGAGTCTCTACAGCGATCCGCCGCGGATCCGATTCTCGAGATCCTTGCAGGGGCAGAAGAAGAGGGAAGGCAGGAGATGACGGCACGAGCCACGAGCATACTCGTGCCACCATATAAAAATGGTGGTACTGGTAGCAGTCACCCTCTTCAAAGTGCCGTTCTCTTCCCAACCAACATCCCTTCCCGTCCCTTCTCCAAGAAAACCAGGCTGGCCAGAAAGCACGATGCCTTCGGTGAGTTGCTCGATTTGTTGTGCCTTCGCCTCCGTGATGTCCGGATACCCCCGTGTCATCCGAGTTTCTAGTACGAGAGGTTAGCATTAGCATCAGCGCTGAATGCTCTTAGCGTTCGCAACCAGTGGCAGGCTCACCTTCGTTCTTGATTCTCCCCTTTGTTCCTCCTCCCCGTTGCATGCCGGTGGTCGTGAAGATTCGATTCGAGGGGCAGAGATCCGGTGCCGGAACCAGGGGGGGTGGGTCCTCCGCATCGATCGAGCTGACGGCTCGTGTTGGTATCGGTTCAATCAATAGCTTGATGAGGGCATCGGTCACGAACGGTCACGACGTGACCGTTCGTGACTCGACCGTCGTTTTTCGCGTTTGAAACGATACTTCTTAGATTTGATGCCACGTTCTTCGCGGTAATCACAAAAGGCTAGATCCAAAGTTTAAGTTGAAATGAGACATTTTCCGTAAAACATTTACATCCTGCTTCAATCCATTTGAAAGAGACCGAGCGTGGTCAGAGGACAATTGACAGATGCCGCATGAGTTTTGGTCGAGTATTTTATCTATTAGCTAGTACTCTAATGATCCTCTTCTACTTGGTTTCTGTTTAACCTATTTATAGGCATA